CAATGGGCTTGACCTTCGTGTGCAATCTGCAATGAGCTCAAGTATGTCGTGACTTCAGTTACTTAATTGTAAATCGCCACCACCATGTAGCGCCGTCATCAAGACTTAAGGTCGTTTGCATGGGGATCTTATTGGGGGGGGGGTTGCGTTTGTTCGCTGGGGGAGGTCGTTGGAGGAGGAGAGAATTCGCTAGAAGAATGCAAGCGGGAAATATCGATGCTATGGACCATCTTCTCGCCTTCAGTAGGATGTACACGCATTTTTCGTTGCACTATTCACCACAATGCCCAAAAGCACTGTCCACACTGATATAGTGGGCGGAGACAGGCAACACCCTCCACACAGATGCTATAAACCACCTCTGCTTCTTACTGTATGCCATAAAGAAACACCTAGTCTAGTCACCTTACTTTCGTGGACTACCAGAAAAGGAACCTTGCAGACGAAGTTGGTTTTCAGCGTACAACAGAACAACAAACTCACTTCCTTCTATTCCATACAGAGATATGTGGTGGAGCTTCTCCTCTGGTATCTCTAGCCATTCCTTAAACTGCGACCAAACGACATCATGTTTTTTAGGACGCTTATCACGGTAGTTCTGAGAGAGTTCTGTTAAGTATGCGATAGCTATGATGTTATTAGGGTTCTTTCCCAAACTTTCTTCAAGTTTTACATCTTAGGTGGACTCAACAAAGGAAAAGCCCGCGATCATTTGCCATCACAGGTAGTGGATAAGGAGTTTGCATATAGACGACAAGTTTCTGATTAAGTTCGATAGTGAAGAAAAAAGCAGAAAAAAAGCCGACTGCCCTAGATAGAACCCCGTGCACAATTAACTCTATCTCTAGCCTTACGCCCTCATTCGCACAGCTGAATCCCCGATAAGAACTCTACGACCGTACAAGTGACGATTTTCATGCTTTTTCGTCCTGCAGCTTCGTTTTCACTGAAAGGCGGGTCTTGAAGGCGGAGCCCGGAGGCGGAGTCATGGAAAAAAGGGCGTCACGGGCACATATTGCGCCATAGCGTCCCTCCTTTTCAATTTTTTGGCGCGAAACCCGGTACAAGGTTGTTCGTTGCGGACCACTCTTCCCTCTCCACGACATATTTTCAACTTCTATACCTGATCGCGGACCGTAAAAAAACGTGGAGAGGGAACGACAGAGATGAAAAAAGCTTGGGCCATGACCTTCCATGCCACTTGGAGGCTGGTAAACTCTGCTGAATGGGTCAATATGGTCACTGAAGAAAACGCCGAGAGTTTTAAGAAAAATCCTGGTTCCCTCACACAAGAATACTAAAGGACGGTCCGCGATCAGGCATAGAAGTTGAAAATATGGCCTCGTGAGGGTAGCGTGGTCCGTATCTTACCGATTTTATCGTATCGTGTAGTATTTTCGTCTTACTCACGTAATCCAATCAATTTGCATTCTTGAACTTCTCAATCTTTATCGTTTTCAACTTTATTCCTTATAAACTTGCTGCAATTGATTTTTCTTCCTTTCCTTACTGAAGAGCACGGAAGGAGGAATATGCTTTTGCTCGGCTTCCGTCTAAGGGCACGTGCGAAACGGAAGCTGAGCTATCTCTTTGCTTTCGACCCCCTCAATAATTCTCATTTATTAGATTTTACAACATAGTCCTTTGATTTCAGTTTTAATGATTTTATTGCAGCAAAAAAATTGTAAGGGAGGCCAAGCGCAACTTGAGTTCAGTGACGCCTCCTTTCCTCCAGTGACTCCGTCATTATACTCCGGCCTTCATGGCCTGCCTCTCAGTGAAAACTGAGCCGCAGGGCGCAAAAACTGTGATCAAAGGGGTACTATCCAGGCCAGGCGACATGCT